TTATGCTGTACTGTAGGAATGGTGGGATTTGGATGGTGAGTTGGTTTGGATTTCTACCAGTCATATTGTTTAGTGTTGAGGCCAAACCATTCCATTTCAGTCTCATCTGACCAGAACACCTTTTTCCATGTGACCTCAGAATCTTCAAAGTGCGTTTTAGCAAAGCTCAGTGGTGATCGCATGTGGCCTTTCTTGAGGAGCGGGTTTTTTCTTGCACCCCTCCCATACAAGCCACATTTGTGGAGGATTTGTGATCTTGGTGTCACATGCACACAATGACCGCTCTTTGTCATCCAATTCCTGACACTGCTTCAGAGTTGCTGTAGGCCTCTTGGTAACCTCTCTGACCAGTTTCCTTCATCCAGTATGGAGCGACGTCCTGATCCAGGGAGGGTCTGTGTTGTACCGAATACCTTCCACTTCATAATAGACTTCGCTCTGCTTCTAGGTATTGATAAAACGTTTTGAAATATTTTGGCATCCATCTCCTGACTTGTGCCTGTCCACAACTCTATCCCAGAGATCCCGGTGATAGTGCCTTTCCACCCATAGTGGATTGTTTGCTTATGTTGCACTATCGGACTGAAAAGCTCCAGGAAAGCTCTTTTCATGCTGAGCCAATCAAAATGACCCCAGCTGATCACAGTTGATAGTCAAATGGTTTTGTGTGCCATTGAGGTGATTAGTTACATCTGATTGAGTTTACAAGTCATTTTTAGGAAGTGAGGTTATCCTTTTTCCAACTCGAATAATGTGTTTTTTATTTTATTTTTCTGACATGTTGGTGTTATATCTTTCACTTGGATGTTATACATTGCACTGAATAAATACAGCAGGATAAAACTAAAAACTTAATTTCAGGCTGAAAAGCAACAAAATGTGATTATTTTAAAGGTGGGTGATTCTTTTCTGTACCCACTGTAAGTTGTACCTGTTTATCTGCAGTCTTCTCTTCTCTACATCTGTTCAAAGTCCAGATTTATAAAGCGTTTCCAAGAGTTCAGAATAAAAGGGGTGGAGAGCTGAGTACACACTGCATGGCTCAGTGAGGAGAGTTCTGAGAGCTGATTGGGGGAAAGAGACAACCCCCCACTTCCACACAGGAGCTGAGGCTGTGAATCATAGACTGTGCGCTGGAGCTCCCTCCCCTGTCACCTCTTTTCTCTTGGTGTCAGGAAAACTTGACAGAAGTGACTCATGCTATAATAGCAGAGGAACAAAGAAGCAGACAGAAATTACACTTAGTGCTCTGGTTTGAGACAAGCACACACTCTAGCGGGATATGCTTTGTTCGTATTTCATGTCTTAAGGTTTACAACCGCTTTGAAGTGATCGGAAAAGTTTGCAAATGTTATTTCTAGTTACTAATACCTACGTGCCCATTCTTGCTCTGTATTCTTGTGTCCCAGTTACCTGGTGATCCTGCCAGCAGCTTCAAATTCCTTTCTGTTGACAACGAGATGACCCATTTACTTCCTTGGTGTCAGGCCATCCTGCACTTTTGCAGTATTGGTGTACAGGATGCTGTACAAACGTAAGGCGCAAAGTAGGCTGCCTGTGATTATACAGGCAGATGCCTCCTGGCCCTCCCCTTAGCTGGTGATGGCTCAGTTTGAGGCTCCACCCACAGCGTCGGAGCTTGGGGTAGAAGAACGCACACTGCTGTTATAATTAGAGGCAGACACGCCTCCTGGCCCACCCCTTAGCTGGTGATGGGTCAGTTTGAGGCTTCACCTACAGCATTGGAGATTGGGGTAGAAGAGCGCACACTGCTGTCATAATTATACAGGCAGACACGCCTCCTGACCCGCCCCTTAGCTTTCTGTTGACTACTGTGATTTGAGGCTCCACCCACAGCGCCGGAGCTTGGGATAGAAGAACGCACACTGCTGTCATCATTAGAGGCAGACACGCCTTCTGAGCCCCCACCCCTTAGCTGGTGATGGGTCAATTTGAGGCTCCACCCACAGCTTCGGAGCTTTTGGTACAAGAGCGCACACTGCTGTCATAATTATACAGGCAGACACGCCTCCTGGTCCGCCCCTTAGCTGGCTATTAACCGTTGCGATTTGAGGCTCCACCCACAGCCTTGGAGCTTGTGTTAGAAGAGCGCACACTGCTGTCGTCATAATCAGGGGCGGACTGACAACTCATGGGGCCCCCGGGCAATAGGGGATCATGGGGCCCCTGTGTCCTTGCCCAGATTCAAAGCACACCCAAAAAAGCCTATAATAGGTACCTGGGGCATTTCATGGGGCCCCCTACTGACCCCGGGCCCTCGGGCACTGCTCGAATGGTCAGTCCGCCCCTGATCATAATTATGCAGTCAGACGCCTCCTGACCCACCCCTTAGCCGGCTATTGACAACTGTGATTTGAGGCTCCGCCCACAGCCTTGGAGCTTGGGTTAGAAGAGCGCACACTGCTGTCGTGATTATATAGGCAGACATGCCCCTTAGGTGGTTAATGACCATGGCAATTTGAGGCTCCACAGCCTTTGCGGCTAGAGGTAGAATGACGGACATGTGACCCCCTCGTAAAATCAAATGAGAGGTTTTATTATTATTTTTGGACACTTTTGGCTAAATGCCATGCTTGGCCGATGCTTGAGCATTGCCCTCGTGTGCGGCATAAATTAGGTTTACTGATGCTTTACAGTACTTGGCCACATTTTATATTTATTATTAAAAAATTTGTATAATTTATTTTTAGTTCTGAAAATATATTTTAAAATATTCCGTCATTTTGTAGTTTCTGAAACTTCAGGTTTTGCACAAGGAAAGTTTGTCTCCATCTTCTTTTTTTTTTTTTTTTTTTTTTTTTTTTTTTTTTAATTTTTAAACCAGCAGAGTTTGGCCAGTCATGACCCTCTCAGACTGTCCGGTTTCATAGTCCAGTTTGTTTTGGCTGCTGTGTTGGGTTTGCATGGTTGAACCCCACAGCTGGCACTCATCTTGCTGGCCGGTATCTGCAATGTCGCTTTGTGTTGTTGTTTCAGGGCGTTCTACATTTTAGAGGGAAAAAAGTCAACCTGAAATATATTCCAAATTCTGACCGATGGGCGTGTCTTCAGGTGAGTAATCATTCTTTGTGGATAACGGAACTCGCCGAAACGTGGCTGGCTTTGTGATCCGTGCTTTCTCTCCCGCAGTGTAACGCTGTCAACGTGTTGTCCAAAGAACGATGCTGGCAGTGCAGTGCGCTGAGGGCCGGTGAGTGACCGCTGCTTTGTCTTTATGGGGACCATTTACGACGGATAAAATGCCATAATCATCACAATGATGACAAATCACGGCTTGAACTATCTTGCTTTGCATGTAATGAGTCTCATATATTAGTTACATCTTTTAAGTTGCAGCACTGAAATAAATGAACTTTTGCACCATATTCTCATTTTTCGAGTTTCACCTGTATACGATTTGAAAGCCACTGATGAATGAGGCTCCTTTCCCCTGGAGCATGTTGGCATTGTGAGAGTCTTTTTTGTTTGTTTTTTTTATCAGAGAGGCAACTGTTTTGGGGGTTGAGGGTGTCCACTTGGGGTAGGGAATGCGCTAAATATGGGTGTAACCTTAAAAATTCTGACAGTTTTCCATATTTCTGCTCTGTTTTGTCTAAGGCGTTGTTCACATGGGGCGTACTAATAGCGCAGCCAGTTCAGGGACACCTGCACCCACATGGATGTCATATTGGCAGCAGCGGCTGTGTCCGTGCAGATGTTGTGTCCTAATTGATATCTATAGGACAGCCTGAATGGGGGTGCATGGAACACCTGAGCATCCCCATGGGGGGTAAAAGCAGCCCTTGCACAGACACACGTTATACTACACCATGTGTGAACAAGGCCTAAGAACTAATGCCGGCCATAGGTCGAAAATTGGCCGATTTTCGCACCCTTAGTAAAGTTGGAAAAAAATCTGCCGATTTTGCCAATAGGCCGATTTTCCCGGCAATGATGGGCAAATCGGCCGATCATTTTACTGATAAAAAATCTGCGCATGAGCCGTGACCTGCAAGCAGAAGAAAAAGAATTCCAGTCCGCTATTATATTTTATATAAAAAGCCTTGCGGTTGCAACAATGTATCTATTTGTATCCGAATAAAACCATCTGTATCCGAAGTGATACAAATGGATACATTGTTGCAACCGCAATACTTTTTCATGTCAAATATAATAGCGGAGCTCTCTGCAGGGACAGAAGTAATTAAATGTCGGCCGTAGATAAGACAAAATTTTTTTTTTGTTTTTTCTACCATTGGTGGTAACGTCGGCCCATTGAACGACCGATTTTTTTTTTTTTTTTTTTTTTTTTTTTTTTTTTTAAACGTCCGGTTTTCGACCCGTCTATGGTCTGCATGAGATCATCCAAATCTATTTGCAGATAACTTCCAATGTTTCGGTGTTTTACTTCCTGGAGATCTTACATATAATTTATACACTAAAACAGGCGAATTCTCCATCTTGCTTTCTCCCCGTGTCTCCTCCTGCAGGTACTGACCATCTGTCTATCAGAGACGCCCATAAAGAACCCAAAACCCCACCCAGCCTGTCCTCCACGCCACAGCGCAGCAAGAAGCGCAAGTCCAAACGCAGTCCTCTGGTCGCAGCCCAGACCGCTGGAAGGATAAGACCCCGCCTAGGGAAAGGAGCCCCCCGCCGAAGACCAGCAAGGGAGCGAAGAAGACCGACTCTGAGAGCGCAAGTGAGTGGAATGATCCTGAAAGTGCTGAGGGCTGTTCTCACAGTCATTCGCACTTTTCTTGTTTTTAGCAGTATACATTGTGGTGAAACATCTGCGCGAGAATTGGGTCCTTCATGACTCCCAATCAGAAGTCACTGGCTGCTGGCAGAATCCTCCTGGAGGACGAGAGGTGAACTAAACTTTGTTTTATCTCTTTGCAGCCGTCATCATCAGGGGGATCTGTGTGAACACTTCTCCAGACAGTGTGGTGAAAGCTCTCCAGCCTTACGTACAGTTGTCTCCGAGTAATGTCCGCATCATGAAGAATCGGAAGAGCAACCATCGGGGATTTGGCTTTATAGACCTTAAAAATCACAAGGTGAGATGTGTTCTGCGTGTCGCTGAGGAGCAGGCGGCTCACCCTGCCTGCAGCCTGCTATGTGAAGGTGGGTGCAGAGGGATGTTACATAACAGGATTATCTCAGGCCTTTCTTGAGGCGATGTTATTTAAAGAGATGCCATCTCCCAGCCCACGCAGAGCAAAGTGACCGTTTGTAAACAGCCACCCCAACCCAGCTATGATCGCTTCACCTGGGCTGCCTTGTAGCCCGTGCCTGCCAGCACTGAAATCCAGCGTGCTGGACACGAATAGGTGTGATGATGTCACTCCCAGCGTCATGTGTTATTGCTTGGGCCTAGAAATCGGCTTCTAGACCTGAGGACTGTCGCATGCTCCTCTATACCCAGAAGAGGTATTGCAGCCAGCTGCAATAGAGGTAGGGCCCAAAAGGAAGTGCTGATGAGTATAGCTGGTCCATGGAATGTCAGGGAAGATTGCAAACACATCATTTAGGGCAAGGTGACAGTGCTCCTTATAGGAGTGTGTAATGGTGCCGACCCCCACACTGCGCTTGGGTACTTCCGTTAGAATACCGCTTCCCTGTCCGAACAACAACCACAGACACCACAGCTGACCATACAAGACTAGATAACACAGTCTTGGAATAAACTAGGAAATAGACCACTATATTTTAACACAGATACAAGATATATACATTCAAGGGAACAATCCCCCCTCCCTGCATAATGACACAGGGCAGGGCAATCTACATTTAGTAACGAGACACACCAACAGACAGTCCCATCAGGAAGGAGGGCTGCTGGAAACACCCCCCCCCCCCACCACCACACACACAACCACCACCAAGCCAATACACAAACACATCCCATAATAGTTTGCTCCCAAGCAAGATACACAATAGAACAATGGGATGCAACCACATAACACCAAACAATCAACAACCCCCCTCCCCAATATTAGGACAAATCACCCTGTACCCCTAACGGGCACAGGGTGACTTACACATAATAGGGATATGGGGAGCTGAGACAGGGGTCTCCCCACCTCTCCAAAGTGAGCTGGGTTCCATGGGCCCCCCCACCCAAAGTGACTCCCGTTACAGAGTGTATCGGCTGTAATGTACCTAAAAGAGCGGTACCACTTCCTCTAACCCCGGAGGGGGCACTGGCTGCTGGCATAGGAGGGCAGAGAAGATGGTGCTGTTATATAGATGAGTCCCATACCCTCTGGACACCAGGTGAAGGGAGTGCACATGTGCGTTATGTAAATCATACAGTCCTTGGATCCAGCGCAGATTTAGATTTGCATGTCTATTTAATGCCATGTCCAGTATAACTGATGTTGACAACTGTATAATTCTAGTGTCAGCTCCTTATAAGTACATCTACAGTATGTGTCAGAGGCTGCTTTGGTAAACCTTGGACACTTGGCTGATTGGGTGACCCCCCCCTCACCCCCCCCTTTTTTTTCCCCCCATCAGCTATTTCCCTGACGTCATCACGTCAGCAGTAAAGTAACAGTGAACATGACTTGACATGTCAGCAGGAACCTATTGCCTGTCCGTTCTGGTCTCTGTTTAACTCCGCCCACATTTGACGCTACCGTCCCAATGCATAAGATGCATAGTTCTGTGTGGTGCCCAAAAGGAAAGGCGGAATGATGTCAGGCACCATAGAGCACCCTCCTACTTAGTCCAGTCACTCCAGTAAAATAAAAATACCAGTTAATGTCACAGGTAGTGTTGTTTTTTTGTTTTTTTACAGAAATTTTACTGTTGACGTGGAACTTCACTATCTCAGTCAGCATGGACTATTTCTAATCCTTGTGCTGCTAATGTTCGTAAATAGATAGGAAAGTGTATTATATTTACTTGTTTTTTGTGTTTTTTTTTTTTTTTTTTTTACGTGTCTTCAGTTACTTCTGGTTTCCATGCCTAGACAAATGTCATACATCCCAACAGTCTTCAGGTAGGGGAGGGAGGGTTCTCAGCTCACCCTATGCCTGAGCTAAGGGCAGATGGATTACAGGAAATAAATAATGCATGAATCACCTGCCCTTACTCAAGATGGCCACTGCCAGAAATTCCAGGTGGTGTTTTTTTTTTTTTTTTTTTTTTAAATGATTTCTCCGCAAAATAAAAGCATGGAGACCTGGATGGATGGGGGAGTTTGCTTTTGAATATTAAAAGTGAATTAAAAAGCATTTCTGGTTTGTGGTGCTCAGATGCGGTGCAGTTCCACTTTAATGATGCAAAGCATATCAACGTTCATGAGAGCTATAAGAACATTCGGGAGGTTGGTGGTGAGTATCCCAGAGATCATTATTACACTGCAACTAAGCACCAAAAACACTGTTTAATTTGTTTTTAACCACTTCCAGTCCGGGGCGGCGCTTTCCCCCCCTTCCAGTCCGGGCGCTTCCCCCCCTTCCAGTCCGGGCGCTTCCCCCCCTTCCAGTCCAAACGCTTCCCCCCCTTCCAGTCCGGACGCTTCCCCCCCCCCTTCCAGTCCGGACGCTTTCCCCCCCCCTTCCAGTCCGGACGCTTTCCCCCCCCCCCTTCCAGTCCCGGACGCTTTCCCCCCCCCCTTCCAGTCCGGACGCTTTCCCCCCCCCCCTTCCAGTCCCGACGCTTTCCCCCCCCCTTCCAGTCCGGGACGCTTTCCCCCCCCCCCTTCCAGTCCGGACGCTTTCCCCCCCCCCCCTTCCAGTCCGGACGCTTTCCCCCCCCCTTCCAGTCCGGACGCTTTCCCCCCCCCCTTCCAGTCCGGACGCTTTCCCCCCCCCCTTCCAGTCCGGACGCTTTCCCCCCCCCCCCCCTTTTCCAGTCCGGACGCTTTCCCCCCCCCCCCCTTCCAGTCCGGACGCTTTCCCCCCCCCCCCCCCCTTCCAGTCCGGACGCTTTCCCCCCCCCCCCCCCTTCCAGTCCGGACGCTTTCCCCCCCCCCCTTCCAGTCCGGACGCTTTCCCCCCCCCCCCTTCCAGTCCGGACGCTTTCCCCCCCCCCCCTTCCAGTCCGGACGCTTTCCCCCCCCCCTTCCAGTCCGGACGCTTTCCCCCCCCCCCTTCCAGTCCGGACGCTTTCCCCCCCCCCTTCCAGTCCGGACGCTTTCCCCCCCCCCCCCCTTCCAGTCCGGACGCTTTCCCCACCACCCCACCCCCCCCCCCCCCTTCCAGTCCCGGACGCTTTTTCCCCCCCCCCCCCTTCCAGTCCGGACGCTTTCCCAACCCCCCCCCCCCCCTTCCAGTCCGGACGCTTTCCCCCCCCCCCCTTCCAGTCCGGACGCTTTCCCCCCCCCCTTCCAGTCCGGACGCTTTCCCCCCCCCCTTCCAGTCCGGACGCTTTCCCCCCCCCCCCCCTTCCAGTCCGGACGCTTTTCTTTTTATTTCCCCCCCCCCCCCTTCCAGTCCGGACGCTTTCCCCCCCCCCCCCCCTTCCAGTCCGGACGCTTTCCCCCCCCCCCCCCCCCTTCCAGTCCGGACGCTTTCCCCCCCCCCCTTCCAGTCCGGACGCTTTCCCCCCCCTTCCAGTCCGGACGCTTTCCCCCCCCTTCCAGTCCGGACGCTTTCCCCCCCCTTCCAGTCCGGACGCTTTCCCCCCCCTTCCAGTCCGGACGCTTTTCCCCCCCTTCCAGTCCGGACGCTTTCCCCCCCTTCCAGTCCGGACGCTTTCCCCCCCTTCCAGTCCGGACGCTTTCCCCCCCTTCCTGTCCAGGCCAGTTTTCAGCTTTCAGTGCTATCACACTTTGAATGACAATTGCGCGGTCATGCAACACTGTACCCATATGAATTTGTTAGCATTTTTTTTGAGACAGATAAAGCTTTATTTTGGTGGTATTTATTCACCGCTGGGATTTTTTATTTTTTTTGCTATATAAATGAAAAAGTCCAAAAATTTTGAAAAAAAGTTTTTCTTATAAAATTTTGCAAATAAATAATATTTCATCATGAATCTCGGCCAAAATGTATTCAGTTATCTTTTCAGTAAAAAAAAATAAAAAAAATAACCCAAATTAGTTTTTAACCAAAAATTATTTTTAAACATTTTTTTTTTTACATTTTTATTTTTTTTTTTATTATTTGTGTTTTTTGTTTTGTTTTTTTGTTTTTTTTACATACTGTCACCCTAGCAGTACTACTTGTGGGGGGTGATGAAGATTTTTTTTTTTTTTTTTTTACACACTGATTGCTTTTACACCCATAAAGGCTGTAAAGCATAATTTCTCCTTCTCTCTGGCTGCATTCTTGCAGCCATTGAGAAATACTGAGTGAGCTGTGATTGGTCACAGCTTGTCACATGATACAAGGCTGTTGTGCATAGCCCTGTACCATGTGATCTCTGTGATCATTCACAGATTTCACACGTAGTAAGCAATGTCAGAAGTGTCATCTTGCTTATTACTCTGCATGTGATCACTGATTGGCCAATCAGTGATCACATGATCGGGGCCTCGCACAGAGGTCCCGTACAACGAACGGTGTTCCACTGTGACCGGAGGACACAGCCGACATAGGATCGCAGTGCCGTGCACTCCCAAGGAGCGCGCACAAGCAGGGGGCGGGGAGGCCGTTTATAAACGGCCACCCGACCCTGCACTGCCACCGTCCAGCCGTTTATATACACCGGCTAGATGGGAGGTGCTTACTGTGGAAACTACGCTGCATCTAAGCACTGGGAACCAAAAACGCTTTTTAATTCAATTTTTTTTTTTTTTTTTCTATTTCAATGGTCTTTATTAAATTTTTTAAACAGTATAAACAGAGGCAATAAAACACGCCCACGCAGGGGCTATCAATTGCACAGAAAACAAAATGCAAAATAAAAAAAAAAGGAAAAAACAATGCTCTAATGCCAACAGGGCAAAAGGTACGCCCACGCAGGGGCTATCAGTGGCACATAAGGTACAAAACAGTAATGTAACTGATTATAACAATTAAATGCAGCTGTCCAGTCACACCAAAAACAGAGAGAGAGAGAAAAAAGAAAAGAAAGAAAAAAAGAAAAAAAAAAAAAAAAAAAAAAAAGGGGTGGGGGGCAAAGAGCAGGGATTCAAGAGCGCCAATACCGAACGCCATTACATCCCCAGACTAGCCGGGGGGAGTGAGGGAAGGGCATATTGCAACCACGGCTCCCATATTTTCAAAAATTTACGTTGGGAGTCGTTGCGGATACTCGACATCTGTTCGTTGAGCATCATAGTGGTCATACGATCCCGCACCCCCTGAAGAGGGACAAACGGACTCTTCCAGGCCTGAGCAATTGTCCTAGTGGCGGATATAAAAACAGATAGGAAGCCAACTTCTGCTGGTGAGCTAAGAGGCCCGGTATGGGGCAATGAAGCAAGGCATACCGAGCATCCCGGCGTATGGAGAGATGGAACAAGGTGAAAAGGAGGCCAAATACACGAGACCAAAAACGAAACAGTCTCGGGCATGACCACCAGATATGTAATACATCACCACGATGACCACAACCCCGAAAACATTGATCACTACAGGCAGGGTTAGCCCGGGCCAGCCGAGCCGGAACCCAGTACCAACGAAACAATACCTTATAGGCTGCCTCCAGTGTGGTCGTATTAAATGAGCATTTAGCTATGAGTGACCAGGCCTTATTCCAGTCCTCCGGATCCACAGCCACTCCCAGGTCCGCGCTCCCACTGAACAACATATGAAAGAGAAGTATGCGACGAGCGTCTGTTCAGAGCTGCATAAAGAAGGGATATAAGGCCCGGAGAGCCCAGACGCAGTTGGCAGAGCTGTTCAAAAAGGCAGATTTCTGGTACGGGAACGCAGAAGTACCCCGCAGCGAGAGCAGCCAGTGTCGCAATTGAAGATATCGAAAAAATTCCGCCGGGGGATATTCCGGGATTCCCGAAGAGAGTCCCAGGTGGGAAAGGACCGAAAAATCAAAAAGTGTCGCACCTGCGAAAAACCATTAGTCACCCACCAAGAAAACGCCCCTGGGTGATCCAAACCCGGCGGGAAAAGAGGGTTGTTAATAATTGGGAGCAAAGGCAGAAAAGGTGACATCAGACCACCAGAGTAACGCACCGAGTCCCAAACTTGTAGGCCATGAAGTAACATCGGACTCAGTGCCATAGGGCGCGCAGGGCAGGGGGAAGCCATAGAAGCGTCGACAGTGCAATAGGGGCACAATTAGGTAGTTCCAACAGGACCCAGAGGGGACGTCGGAAGAGGCGTGCAACATAGACAGCGGGGCAATCTGGCTCGCTTGATAATACTTAGTCACATTAGGCACCCCAAGACCACCCTGAAGTCTATGGGCAAAAAGCGTACTTTTGGATACTCTGGGGTGCTTATCGGCCCAGATAAAACGCATTAACTTCGCCTGAAGCAACCGAAGAAAATGAGGGGGAACCCGCACCGGGAGTGTGCGAAAATAATACAACAGTTTCGGCAAGATGGTCATTTTCACCGAATGAACCCGTCCTATCCAAGACAGGTGCGGAAATTGCCAAGAATGCATAAGAGAGGATAGAGAGCTAAGCAATGGATAGTAATTCGCAGCAAACAGTGAGTCATAAGTGGGGGTCAAGCGAATGCCTAAGTATTCAAGAGAAGAGGAAGCCCATTTGTAAGGGAAGTGGGATTGTAGGCGCGAAACCAAATCTGAAGCCAAAGTAATATTGAGGGCGACAGTCTTATCCAAGTTGATACGGAGACCCGAAATCAAGGAGAAGCGCTCAAGAACCTGTTGCAAATTAGGAAGCGTCGTCAGGGGGTTAGTAAGAGTCAGGAGGGCATCATCCGCAAAAAGGTTCAGTTTGAATTCCTGTCCCGCGTAAGGAACCCCCGATACATTGCAATCGGTCCGAAGCGCCAAAGCCAACGGCTCAAGCGCCAGGACAAAGAGCGCTGGGGACAGGGGGCAACCCTGTCTCGTCCCTCGCCCAATAGGAAAGGGATCTGAAAAATACCCAGCGTATTTGACGGAGGCCGAAGGAGAAGAATACAAGGCCTGAATCCAAGAAAGAATAGAATCCCCAAAACCCCAACGAGACAGCACAAACCGCAGATATTCCCAGGATAGAGAATCAAAGGCTTTAATATGTCTAAAGACAGTAAGAATCCCGGGGATTTTCCGCTGTTGCAGAAAATGTATCAGATGGACCACCTTACGAACGTTATCACCCCCCGCCTGCCTCCCGGGGACGAACCCTACCTGGTCCCTGTGGACCAGGCTACGCAAATATTTATTAATGCGGAAACTAAGGATCTTGCCCAATATCTTCAGGTCTTCATTAAGAAGAGAAATAGGCCGGAAGGCTTGCGGTTCCTGTACATCATCGGTCGTCTTAGGAATCATGGCGATATGCGCTCTAAGCGCATCTGGGGGAGGGCGAGGAGCCCTGTCGTAACGCATTAAAAATACTCAGCCAAAAAGGGCGCCAACAAGGCTGAGAATTTCTTATAATAAAGACCGGAAAAGCCGTCGGGACCTATTGCCGCGGTGGACCGTAAAGATTTGATAGCTTGGAGCACTTCTGGTACAGTGACACCGGCGTTGAGTGCCACCTGTGCTGCCTCGGAAACCCAGGAAGTCGGAGATCTTGAAAGAATGCCTCTGCTTGAGCCACGGGGAAGGGATCTGGTTTAGCGTAGAGGCGTGCAAGGAAGTCTGAGAAACGGGAAACAATCTGCTGGGGATTAGAAGTACAGCCACCTGTAGGAAGTCGCAGTCGAATCGGTTTATGGGGTTTCCCCACAGAATTGAGTTTCCTGGCCAGCATCGGGCCTGGCTTATTAGCACAGGAATAAAATTTGTGTTTGGTCCAACGCAGGGCCCGTTCCGCCTCTGAAGAGGCAAGTAGGTCTAACTCTGCCGCCAGAGCGTCCCGAGCGCGTTTTATGGGCCGCAGATGGAGAGGACTTCCAACGCGCATCCGCAGAGGCCAGGAGAGAATGAAGCTCCAAAAAAGTCGGCGCTCCCCGCTCCCGCTTCCGGACCGCCGCCAGCTGTATAACATGACCCCGCACCGTGGCCTTATGCGCCTCCCATAGGGGCACTGCCGAGGAGACCGATCCCGCGTTTTCCGTGAAGTATGTTCGTAAAAAAAATTCTATTTGTTGGCAGGTAGCCTGAGTGGTCAATAAAGAATCATTGATGCGCCAATGAAATGGGCGCCGTTCTGACCCAGAGAGGGCAAGGAGAAGTACCAAGGGATCGTGATCCGACCAAGGCGAGGAGGGAATAGTTATCCGCCTGACCAAGGGAAGCTGCTGAACCTGCATAAATATATGATCAATTCTACAAAAACTATCATGAGGACTGGAATAGAATGTAAAGTCGCGTTCCGTTGGGTGAAGCTCCCTCCAGACGTCCGCCAGCCCTGCTGTCCGCAGGAGAGAGCGCATACGTTCCTCCAGCACCAAGTCATGAGAAGGGACCGCCCCCCGTGCGCAGCGCCTATCCAATGCGGAATCCAAAGTAACATTTGAATCCCCCAAAACAACAAGAAGACCCTTGGAGTGTCGGGAAACAATGGTGCAAAGATGTGAAAAGAATTTATCCTGAAAACGATTAGGCGCGTAGTAAGAGACAAAAGTAACCTCCTGATCCCAGAGGGTGCCTTGCAGAAGCAGATACCTGCCCGTGGGGTCCACTATATTCCTAGCACAGACAAAGGGGAGATTGCGTTTAAAAAGCGATCAGGACACCCCGACGCTTCTCAGGGGCCGAGGCCGTGTAAAAGGTGGGATAGTGAGGTGAAAGATAACGCGGGGCGGAGGACTGAGAAAACCTGGTCTCTTGTAAACATACCACATCAATTTGTTGTGATTTGAGGTGATGAAAAACTTTAGCCCGCTTCTGAGGCGAATTAAAGCCTTGAACATTTTGCGAATGAATTTTCAAAAGGGGCGAGGCCATGGCGGCATCAGAGCAACACGCTCAGCAGAAGAAACCATAAAGCAGCTAGCAATTTCCGCTCCCAATGGCGATCGGACCGTGGCGTCCGGAACCCTGCAGAAAACAAAAACAAAAAAAAACCAAAGGACAAAAAAAAAAAAACAAAGAAAGAAGGAAAAGTACACAAAAAGAATATACAATAGTGCAATCGTGTCACGCCAATGGTGACGTGCATCCTACAAAGGAAGGATACCAGTTAGGGGTGGCTCTACCACCGGACACATGGCTGCAAATGGAAACATCAGAAACATAAGTCCCAGGGGGGCAAAAGGGCAATAAGGCACTAAACACAGTAGAACGGGGTACCAAAGCAATAAAACTAAAGGAGCTAGGCCACCGTGATGACCTCCCCATAGCAACCCAGAGAACCATGGGGCTAACCCCCTCCCACCCAACCGGGCCTACCAGATCAACCTCCCACCCCGAAACCAGAGGGAACCCTCACTCCGTGCTACCAACAAAAACCGGAATACCATCACCCAGGCCCAAAATAGGCTGCGGCAGCAGAAAGTCATAATTCTCGAATCCATGAGGAGACCCCCCCAACCAGGGAAGGAACCCAAGGGGGCACAATGGAGCAGTCCCAACCCGTAATGCTGACAAACTGGGGGAGCCCTAAGGGCCAAACTCACGGTCCCGTCAAGGAAGTCCATCGGTGAGATGATACATGGGAAGTCCAAGACACATCTTCAGCCCGGAGAAGAACAGGAAGGACTTGATCGTGAAGAGGTCTGAGGGAGGGCCCTCTTCCTATTGGATGACCGCTCCCAGATGCGGCTTGGAAGAAGCGGCCTTGCCGGGGATCCAGATGAATGAGCTGGGCTCCGATTCGCAGCCTCAGGCGAAAGAAGGTGTAAAGATTCCAGAAGAGAATGGGCCTCCTCCGGCGTAACCACAGAATGACTGCGGCCCTGGTAGGTGAAGGTGAGGCGAAACGGGAAGCCCCAAGCGTATTTGATACTGTGTTTCACCAGGACCGAAGTGAAGGGCTTCAATTGGCGACGCTTCTGAAGAGTGGTCTGAGAGAGGTCCGCAAAGAGCTGGTAGCGATGCCCCTGGAAGCTGAGGTCAGGGTTGTTTCTGGCCGCCAAGAGGATAGTTTCCTTAGTGCGGTAATACGTAAACTTGATGATAATGTCCCTCGGGGGCCCATCCGGTCGTCTGGGGCCCAACGCACGATGTATGCGGTCAAATTCAAGCCGGTCAATGGGAACAGCGGGTGTCAGCTCCTGAAACAGAGCTGTAGCAGTGGAAGTAAGATCCCGCGACCGTTTCCGGGATACCCCTTAACCGCAGATTGCCACGGCGGGAACGATTTTCGAAATCCTCAAGCCGTAGCAGCGCGTCCGCCAATTCTTTCTTGAGGTCGCACAAATCCTGTTCGTGATTTTCCATGACCGTGGCCGCAGCGTCCATCTTATCTTCGAGGTCGTTCGTCCGGTTGCCCAACTCGCGAATCTCCTGCGAAAGACGGTCGGCCAGCTTGGAGGTAGCGGAGGACAACTCGGACTGCAGCATACATTGGAATCGGCGCAGGAGCTCAGCATCCCACAGAGATGGGATGGGAGACTGCAGGGATGGCTCTGGTGCCAGGTCCTCTACACTGCCAGGGTCCGACCCACCTATGGATGGTGACAGCGGGGGACCCAAAATCGCGGCTGGGGCTCCATCTGTGGTCCGGGCGGGAGCCGCGAACCCGTGGCCGGGGGTCCTGGAAGTCCGCGGCGGCCGGCCCAAAATCGAGGCCCCGGCTTCAGCCGCGATCTCCGGCGGGTAGGCCGCAAACTCCGGAGCAGCCTGCCGGGAGCTGGAGGCACGGGCGGCCGGCGTTTTTTTGACCATCAGGGCACCAGAGAGACAGGGGGCCAGGGAGGAAACAGGGGGACCCCCCCTGAGGAGAGAAAATCGGCCGATGTGTCCGGCGGCCGAGGAGTTAATTTACAAAGCAGCCATCTTGGTGCTGCTCACGAGCGCCCTTTAATTCATTTTTAATATGCAAAGCAAACTCCTCCATCGATCAATGTTTCCATGTTTTATTTTGCTGAGAAATCACTTAGAAACCCCCCACCCCACCTCTAGCATTTCTGGCCGTGGCCATCTTGAGTAAGGGCAGATGATTCATGTAGCACTTCCTGGAATCCTTCTGCCCCTAGCTCAGGCAGGAGGGTGTGCTTAACTGAGAAAATCCCTTGTCCCTGAAGACTGCTCGGATGTATGACATCATTTGCCTAGGCATGGAAACCAGGAAGTAACTAAAGAAATGTGTGTAAAAAAAAAAGTAAAAACAAGTAAATATAATCTATCTTCTCATTTATTTACTGATGATAGCAGAATGAGGATTAACAATAGTCCATGCTGATTGAGGGAGTGAAGTTCCACTTTAAGCTGGTAGATTTATGAAAAAAGGTGTTAATCTATAGCAACCAATCAAATGCCAGCTGTAATTTTTTTTTTGTCATACAAACTGAAATCACACGTGAGTGTTTGCTACGGGAAGTCCTTGTATTTTTGTATAGAATACTGTTAGAAGATGTTTCATCCATGAAAGTCATCCTCCTTGCCGTTTCCTTTCTTGCCACTAGGAGGCGATACGTCTGACAGTCCTGGTGCGTGATCTGAAACCTCCTCTCACCATTAATGGGAAAACGATTTCCGTGGATCTGGCAGTTGGACAGAGGAGGTAAGTTTGTGCATCAAAGTTGAACTCCAGGCGCGAACAGGGATGAAATTATAGATACATATGAGCCGTTATGCCCGACATGATAGTTGCATTCCTGTCCATCAGTCCTGAGATCTACACAGCTCCGCCACACAGGACAACCCTGGCTGGCAGGGCAGGTCACCTGATTTGTCAGCCTGTGACTGGACTGTGAAAGGAGAAGCAGCAGACTGATGTCACCTCTCTGTCACTCTGCACTGTCTTCCTATCAGAGTGCCCCATCAGTGGTGTATTTAGGTTTTGTGCTGCCCTGGGCAACGCTAAGATTGTCTGCCCCCACAGACAGGAACCAACACTACCCCCCCTTCCCCCCCTCCCGCGGAGAGAGCCTGACATTGACCAACACCACCCTTGCCCCCCACCTGCGAGAGCCTTCCACTAACCCCCCCCCCCCAGCAATAGACACTCATCTTCAGAGCTGCAGACATCCCCAGGAACAAGAGCTAGGCTCTACATACATCATCAAGCAGCCCAAAGCCTCTCTCGGATCCCACCTGGGTCCCATGGCGTGTGTCCCTTCTCCCATCCCTGTTTTCTGGGGGAAGGTGCTGCCCCCTGAAAAATGCCGCCCTAGGCAAGTGCCTGGTTTGCCTTGTGGTAAATACGCCCCTGTGCCTCATGCATTGCAGCAAGCACACCTTATTGGCTCATTGTTCTGCTTCTCTCTCCCCCAGTCCACTTAGTCTGGATGGGGCATTCAGATCCTTCCTCCTTTTTTTTTTTTTTTTTTTTTTCTTTGCAATCATTTCTCCTTCTCTCTGGCTGCATTCTTGCTGCCATTGAGAAATACTGTGTGAGCTGTGATTGGTCACAGCTTATCACATGGTACAAGGCTGTTGTGAATAGCCCTGTACCCTGTGATCATTCACAGATTTCACATGTCGTAAGCAATGATGTCAGAAGTGACATCTTGCTTACTACTCTGCATGTGATCACTGATTGTCCAATCAGTGATCATATGATCGGGACCTCGCACAGAGGTCCCCATCCGACGATCGGGTATTCCACTGTGTCCGGAGGACACAGCGGGCACTGGATCGTGGTGCTGCGTGCTCCCAGGGAGTGTGCGCACAAGCAGTGTGCGGGGAGGCCGTTTATAAACGGCCACCCGACCCTCAACTGCCATCGTCTGGCCGTTTATATACATGGGCCGGACAGGAGGTGGGTAAACAATGAAATCAAAATTTATAAAGTTTTTTTCCACCTGGGCCTAAAGCAGAGCTGCGGGGAGGACACCTTGGAATCGAGGACAGGTAAGTGGCTGTTTTTTAAAAGTCGACAGCTACAGTATTTGTAGCTGCTGACTTTTTTTTTTTTTACAGTGTGAGTGGAGCTTTAAGAAAGCATCAGACATACGTGTGCTGTGTACACAGCAAGGCCCAAATCCTCCCAACACACTAAACTGACCAGAGTTTTCTGTTCCTCTCATAGGACTGAACATGGCAAATCCGGGAAAGGCAACAAGTCGTCTCCCGGCAAGGTGAGGGGAATTTATGGGGCTGGGATTTGGTGTTTTTGCATTCAGACTTTTGTGAATTGTTGTGTAACCTCCGCAATTCTCTATGTAGAACCGGAAACAGAGAGCCAGAGGAAAACCGTTCACCTACCCGGGATTCAGAAGTGAGCTTTCCATTATTTTGTGACAAAAAATATGGAAACACTATGGAACATTCTTTTGCTTCTGCTGTGTGATGAGACACCTAGCTAACAGCCATTCGTCATTCACCGTGTGCACTGCTAGTAATATGGAGTCGTGTCAGCTTACGGAGCTTCAAAGAGGGCAAATTGTTAGTGCCTCTGTGACTGAAGTCGCCAATTAATTTGTGATGTCGCGAGATACTGACCGAGACAAAAGGACATTGCGCAGGATTGTGACCCCCAATAAGAAAACAACTGCTGCAAAAGTCACTGCAGAGCTCAGTCTCAGTCTTCCAAAGCCTGCATCCACAAAAACTGTGCAGAGGGAACTCCATAAGCAGAACATTCACGGGCGAGCTGCAATTGCCAAACCACTAGTGAGCGATTATTAATGCTTGGAAGAGGAGAGAGTGGTGCAACACCCATAAATGGTGGACGATCGATCGATCGATCGATCAATGGAAGACTGGAATACGGTCAGATGAATCGAGCTTCCCACTGTTCCCAACCATTGGACGTGTCTACATGTGGACAACACCATCCCAAGCTTACCACCAGGACTGTCTTGTGCCAATGTTAATGCATGGTGGTGGAGCAATCATGGTTTGGGCAGCTCTATCTTGGAATTCTGCAGTCCCCATCATCACCATTATAGGTAGAGTCACTGCCAGCGACTATGTACATATTTTGGCCGACCATGTGCACCCTATGGTGCAGACATTGTTTGCCGAAGACAGCGCCATTTACCAAGACGATAACGCTCCGATTCACACAGCTGGTGCTGTCAAATGATGGTTTGACAAGCATGCAGACGAAGTTTGGCACCTTCCTTGGGCTCCGCAGTTGCCGTACCTTAATATCATAGAGCCATGATGGTTCATTTTGGAGAACAAGGTTGGGGCTCGTTTTCCGCCTCCGGCATCTCTGCATGAAGAGTGGTATCAGATTCCATTTTCCACCATCCAAGTCTTACGTTTGTTAATTCCCAGGAGAGTTCAGGCCATCTTGGATGCCAAAGGTGGTCCAACAGCATATTCGCTAACGATTTCATTTTTTTACCTGGTGTTTCTATAATTTTGTCCAACCTCTGTACTTTGGGCCTAGTGGATGGGGCCACGTGCTAGTTAAAAGCACACGCTTTTTTCTTTAATATGTTTCACAACATCGGGCTGCTTCCTCAGAAGATCAATTCATAAACTTTATATCATCTGCATGTGAAGTTTCTTTTGAGGATGGTGGGGAGGGGGGGGGGGAGGAAGTGAGGGCGGTGGGAAGACGAGTGGGCGAGGGTGGTGGGGAGACTAGAGAGTGGTGAGGGCGGTGGGCAGACTGGAGAGGGTGAGGGTGGTTGGCAGACTGAAGAGGGGTGAAGGTGGTGGACTGGGCAGACTGAGGGCGGCGGGCAGAATGGAGGGGTGAGGGCGGCGGGCAGAATGGAGAGGGGTGAGGGCGGCGGGCAGACTGGAGAGAGGGGTGAGGGGCGGGCAGACTGGAGAGGGGTGAGGGCGGCGGGCAGACTGGAGAGGGGTGAGGGCGGCGGGCAGACTGGAGTGGGGTGAGGGCGGCGGGCAGACTGGAGTGGGGTGAGGGCGGCGGTGACTGGAGTGGGGTGAGGGCGGCGGGCAGACTGGAGTGGGGTGAGGGCGGCGGGCAGACTGGAGTGGGGTGAGGGCGGCGGGCAGACTGGAGTGGGGGTGAGGGCGGCGGGCAGACTGGAGTGGGGGTGAGGGCGGCGGGCAGACTGGAGTGGGGTGAGGGCGGTGGGCAGACTGGAGTGGGGTGAGGGCGGCGGGCAGAATGGAGTGGGGTGAGGGCGGCGGGGGTAAAGGTGGTGAGGGTGGTGGGGAGAATGGAGTGGGGTAAAGGTGGGGAGAATGGAGTGGGGAAAAGGTGGTGAGGGCGGTGGGCAGAATGGAGTGGGGTGAGGGTGGTGGGGAGAATAGAGTGGGGAAAAGGTGGTGAGGGTGGTGGGGGAATGGAGACGTTGAGGGGAGGGTAAGGGTGGTGGGGAGGGGGGATGGTGGGGTAAGGGTGGTGGGGAGAATGGAGTGGGGTAAAGGTGGTGGGGAGAATGGAGTGGGGTAAAGGTGGGTGGGGAGAATGGAGTGGGGTAAAGGTGGTGGGGAGAATGGAGTGGGGTAAAGGTGGTGGGGAGAATGGAGTGGGGGTAAAGGTGGTGGGGAGAATGGAGTGGGGTAAAGGTGGTGGGGAGAATGGAGTGCGGTAAAGGTGGTGTGGAGAATGGAGTGCGGTAAGGGCATCAGGGTAAAGGTGGTGGGGGTGGGGGGGAGAATGGGGGTGGGGGAGGGGGGGGGGGGGGGGTGGGGAAATGGGGGGGGAAAGGGTGGTGGGGTGGTGGGGAGAATGGAGTGCGGTGAGGGCAGTGGGATAAAGGGGTTGGGGAGAATGGAGTGGGGGGGGGGTGGTGAGGGTGGTGGGGAGAATGGAGTACGGTAAGGGCAGTGGGGTAAAGGTGGTGGGAAGAATGGAGCAGGTCTGCGTAGTGGGGAGGGGGGGGGGGAGTGCGGGGGGGCAGAGGGGGACAATATGGACAGTGGTACGGGTGAGGATTGGGGGGGGCAGTGGGTATATTATGACGGGGCCTAGTGAGACATAAAACTAGGGGAAAATAAACAAGAATCCTCCTTTTATACCAATATAGGTAAGAGGTATATGTGGATAGTGACATATACCCAAGCTGGTTGGGTGTTGAGATTTGAGCCCATCCCCCCCATCTCTTCCAGGTGGTCACATGTTCTGTTCCTTTAGGTTGGTGTTGCTCCTTTGACATGCATCCTTTTTCTTTTTCAGCTGAAGAAGGTCCAAGTTATATTTATGACCCAAAAACTGGGGATGTTACGTGGATCCGGTATCTGACTCCATTTACAATGAGCCCAAATCTGAGGTATTATCTCTGCCCTTCCTGTACCATGTGTTCCCTGCTATTCCCCCCGGAGCCAATCCTATATCACTCCTATATAAATCCATGTCACTCGGTTTGTCGTTGGCTTTGTTCTCCTCCATAAACGTGTCCATACTATTCGTGGTGTTTTTTCCGATCACAGAAATCTTTACATTTGGCTGAACACGGTGTAGAGGCCGTAGTGGGAGCATTCTTTTATTAACCAGTTGCTGACCTGCTCACCGTAAATCTGCTATGATCGGGCAGCAATGCAGGCACCACAATGCACATGGGCGCACCCCCATGAAATACAAGAAGAAAAGACCGCCAGTAAAAGCAGCACCCCTTGATGGTAACCCCTCCCCCAGCCCTTGTCATTAGTACAGTATTATATCTGATAATTGTATTAGTGTCACTAGTGACGTCAGTGTCAGTGTACCTCCCAGCAAGGGTCTGTAAGCACCAGATTACCCACCACACTATCACTGTCCCACTGTAAGTCGTTGATCACCGCCATTACCAGTATAACGTCATAGCTCTACAGTGATCTAACACCACCCCAAGAGCCCCACTCATACTCTGTAACTCCTGACAGGAGGGCCCGCACTTGGCACAGGCCGGAGCTGATGGAGGTTAGGTAGTCTCTGGGTTCTCCGGTAATCCCACCCCTATAATATGTCTCAGTGACAGTTGTGTGCACCTTTCCTATCTGTTCAGTAACGTCATCTCATCTCTCAGCAGCAAAAGCGGGATGATTATCCTTCCCAGGAGTCTGAGAGGGACACGAAGGAGAAACCCAGCCGCACCAGAAGAGGCTTCACTGAGGTGAGCGGGAGTCACGTACTCCGTGTCTGAGAGGTGAAAAACGTATGGCAGGTATATACACGGCTCAAAACAATGAAAGGAAGGCTTTGTAATACGAGTCCAGCATCAAGTCAGTGAAACTTCTGGGATATTGATCTGGTCAGGGAAGTAGCAGAGGGGGTTGTTCATTTCAGCTGTTTTGGTGTTAATGAAATTACCAACAGGTGCACTAGATGGGCAACAATGAGAAGACCCCCAAAACAGGAATGGTTTTACAGGTGGAGGTCACTGACATTTTTTTCCCTATATATCTTTTCTGACGTTTTCACTAGTTTTGCATTTGGAGAATGGAGAGGGTGAGGGTGGTGGGGAGAATGAGTGGGGTGAGGGGTGGTGGGGAGAATGGGGTGGGGGGGTGAGGGTGGTGGGGAGAATGGAGTGGGGTGAGGGTGGTGGGGAGAATGGAGTGGGGTGAGGGTGGTGGGGAGAATGGGGTGGGGTGGGGGTGGTGGGGAGAATGGAGTGCGGTGAGGGTGGTGGGGAGAATGGAGTGGGCTGAGGGTGGTGGGGAGAATGGAGTGGGCTGGGGGTGGTGGGGAGAATGGAGTGGGGTGGGGTGGTGGGAGACTGGAGTGGGGGAGGGTGGGGGCAGACTGGAGTGGGGTGAGGGTGGTGGGCAGACTGGAGTGGGGTGAGGGGGTGGTGGGCAGACTGGAGTGGGGTGAGGGTGGTGGGGAAGACTGGAGTGGGGTGAGGGTGGTGGGGAAGAATGGAGTGGGGTGAGGGTGGTGGGGAAGAATGGGGTGAGGGTGGTGGGGAAGAATGGAGTGGGGTGAGGGTGGGGGGGGAATGGATGTGGGGGAGGGGGTGTGGGGAAGAATGGAGTGGGGGTGAGGGTGGTGGGGAAGAATGGAGTGGGGTGAGGGTGGTGGGGAGAATGGAGTGGAGTGAGTGAGGGTGGGGGAGAATGGAGTGGGGTGAGGGTGGTGGGGAAGACTGGAGTGGGGTGAGGGTGGTGGGGAAGAATGGAGTGGGGTGAGGGTGGTGGGGAAGAATGGAGTGGGGTGAGGGTGGTGGGGAAGAATGGAGTGGGGTGAGGGTGGTGGGGGAGAATGGAGTGGGGTGAGGGTGGGTGGGGGAGAATGGAGTGGGGTGAGGGTGGTGGGGGAGAATGGAGTGGGGTGAGGGTGGTGGGGAAGAATGGAGTGGGGTGAGGGTGGTGGGGAGAATGGAGTGCGGTGAGGGTGGTGGGGAGAATGGAGTGGGGTGAGGGTGGTGGTGGCAGACTGGAGTGGTAGGGGGGGTGGTGGGGTGAGAATGGAGTGGTGTAAGGGTGGGTGGGCAGACTGGAGTGGGGTGAAGGTGGTGGGGAGAATGGAGTGGTGTGGGTGATGGGGAAGAATGGAGTGGGGTAACGGTGGGGTAAAGGTGGTGGGTAGAATGGTGTTAATGAAATTACCAACATGTGCACTAGATGGGCAACAATGAGAAGACCCCCAAAACAGGAATGGTTTTACAGGTGGCGGCCACTGATCTTTTTCTCCCTACATATATTTTCTGACTGTTTGTCACTAGTTTTGCATTTGGCCGGGGTCAGTGTCACTACTGGTAGCATGAGGCCATACCTGGACCCTACAGAGGTGGTACAGGCAGTCCAACGCCTCAAGGATGGATGGCGAGGGGTTAGTGTGACACACACCACTCCCCACAGCTTCCTGTGCCAAGGTAATGGTGCAGAAAGCTTAGTCAATTCCCCGGACGGGGTCTAGAACTCCAGAAATAATGGGTGTCAAGCTCCAAGCTGCTTCCTCGTCATACACAGAAGAGACGAATGCCAATAGGCAGCTGCCTGTATGTGATGACCAGTCAGTTATCCTTTGTTGCTTACCCCACTGCCCTCGGAGCCTCCCCCACTGCCCTCGGAGAGCCTCCCCCACTGCCCTCGGAGAGCCTCCCCCACTGCCCTCGGAGAGCCTCCCCCACTGCCCTCGGAGAGCCTCCCCCACTGCCCTCGGAGAGCCTCCCCCACTGCACTCGGAGAGCCTCCCCCACTGCCCTCGGAGAGCCTCCCCCACTGCCCTCGGAGAGCCTCCCCCACTGCCCTCGGAGAGCCTCCCCCACTGCCCTCGGAGAGCCTCCCCCACTGCCCTCGGAGAGCCTCCCCCACTGCACTCTGAGAGCATTGCTGGGGATTTGGGTTTCACATGGAGATTCTGCTGACTTTTAATCTGCTTTACTGGAAGTATAACCCGGGTTTTATTTTAGGAGACAGAAGAGGAAGAGGCATTTAAGAGGCCATTACCGCCCCCCGTGATGTTGAAGAAAGAGGAGCCTGCTGAGGTAATGGGACCCCTGTGTGCTTGTAGGAGGCAAAAGGTTGAATATGATCATGCATTCCAGTACCTACCCCCCCCCCCCCCCCCATGCAAGCCACACCCATCCATTATTATGTTCCCCTAGACCAGGGAGTCCCCAAACTTTCTAAACAAAGGGCCAATTTACAGTCCTTCAGACTTTAGGATAGCTGGAATGTTACAAATGTCCTATATCAGTGGGAGTAAATGGTGTCCCCTCTTTGGTACTAGAGACAGAAATAGTGTCCCATCATTAGAGTCAGTAGAAGAAATAGTGCCTCATCATTGGTGTCAGTGGGAGGAATAGTGTCCCATCATTAGAGTCAGTAGAAGAAATAGTGCCTCATCATTGGTGTCAGTGGGAGGAATAGTGTCCCATCATTGGTGTCAGTGGGAGGAATAGTGCCTCATCATTGGTATCAGTGGGAGGAATAGTGTCCCATCATTGGTGTCAGTGGAAGGAATAGTGCCCCATCATTGGTGTCAGTGGGAGGAATAGTGCCCCATCATTGGTATCAGTGGGAGGAATAGTGCCCCATCATTGGTGTCGGTGGAAGGAATAGTGCCCCATCATTGGTGTCAGTGGGAGGAATGGTGCCCCATCATTGTTGGTATCAGTGGAAGGAATAGTGCCCCATCATTGGTATCGGTGGAAGGAATAGTGCCCCATCATTGGTGTCAGTGGGAGGAATAGTGCCCCATCATTGGTGTCGGTGGAAGGAATGGTGCCCCATCATTGGTATCGGTGGAAGGAATAGTGTGCCCCATCATTGGTATCAGTGGGAGGAATGGTGCCCTATCATTGGTGTCAGTGGGAGGAATAGTGCCCCATCATTGGTGTCAGTGGGAGGAATAGTGCCCCATCATTGGTATCAGTGGGAGGAATAGTGCCCCATCATTGGTATCGGTGGAAGGAATAGTGCCCATCATTGGTGTCAGTGGGAGGAATAGTGCCCCATCATTGGTATCAGTGGGAGGAATAGTGCCCCATCATTGGTATCGGTGGAAGGAATAGTGCCCCATCATTGGTATCGGTGGAAGGAATGGTGCCCCATCATTGGTGTCGGGCCATACTTTGGAGACCACTGCCATAGACCCACATACCGCCCCACCAACTCATACTGTCTTAGTCCCACAAACAAGTCCATATGTTTCCTTTGTGTGCCCCAGTCCAATTGACTGTTCCCTCTAGTAATCTGCTGCTTGCTGTCCATGTCCTACCAGCAAGTGTAGTTTTCATTGAGCGACAGAATGTTTTCCCCTGTATATGTGATAATGCAGACCTGCTTCCCATCCTGATTGGTAAGGACACGCAGGGTCACGTGATTGTTGGTTAGCAGGACACATGGGGGTGGATTTACTAAAACAGGAGGGTGCAAAATCCGTCTCACTTCTGCACAGAAACCAATCAGCTTCCAGCTTCAGCTTGTTCAATTAAGCTTTGGCAATAAAACCTGGAAGCTGATTGGTTTCTGTGCAGAAGTGAGACGGATTTTGCAGTCTCCAGTTTTAGTAAATTACCCCCCCCCGTAGGGTCACGTGTGATCCAACGTATGGCCATGTTTTAGCCGTGTACATTTTCTGGGCACTTTCTCCGTGATAATGTATCTCATTCCTGGCTTTGTCACTTGTAACCTTCACAGCCAAAGGTGAACCCTCTGCTGGGGCTGATTGGGGCGTATGCAGAGGACAGCGAGGAAGAGGAGGAAGAAGATGACGAGGAGGAGGAGAAAGATCCAGAGATGATGCCCCCATTACAGAAGAAGAAACCCGCCTCCCCACCCCCACCACCCGCCCCCCAACCAGTGCCTAAACCGATAGTTATACCCACCCCTAAACCCGCACCTAAACCGATACCTGAGCCTAAACCCGCCCCCGCTGCGTCCAGCACCAGTGACTACGACAAGATGATCGACTGGAAGAAGTTGGTGTGCTTGTTGTGCCGCAGGCAGTTCCCCAGTAAGGACACCCTGATGAAGCATAAGAACCTGTCGGAGCTGCACAAGGTAATCCCCCCCCCCCCCCCCCCCCCCCAAGATGAATGTACATGATATTGCCTAACCCCTTGTATGGACAGGCTGTCACCAGGGGCGAACTGACAACTCATGGGGCCCCCGGGCAATAGGAGATCATGGGGCCCCTGTGTCCTCGCCCACACCCAAATTAGCCTATGAAAAAGGTGCCAGGGGCATCTCATGCGGCTCGAATGGTCAGTCCGTTCCTGGCTGTTACTATATATATATATATACTCACACACACGACTGGCTCCTCCGGGTCTGTGGGCCCCCTGCCAACCCACACTGTGATTGGCCACAGCATGTTTGGGGAAACTTATTAGCACTGATCAATGTGTTGGTGCCACTAGTAATGTAATGGTGTGCCTCCCAGCCTGCATCAGCTAGTGCCAGATTGCCCTCCACGCTATCACAGTCCCGCTATAAGTCGCTGATCACCGCCATTACCAGTATAGCGTCATAGCTGCGTAAATTCCAGTAGATATACACTTATTGGGATTTTGTAGCAAAATACACTTTGGCCTAAATGTGTGGAAAAATTTTGACTTTTTGATTTTTGTTTTCTTTTTTATTGGATGTCATTTAAAATATTGTTTTTGAAATGTATTTATTTTTTTTTTTTCTGTTTAAATAATGAAAAGCCCAGAGGTGATCACATACCGCCAAATGAAAGCTCTGTGTGGAAAAAATGATATAAGTTTAATTTGGGTACAGTGTTGTATAACCACGCAATTGCCAGTTAAAGTTGCACTTACCCCAGGGAGCCTACATCTACCATTCACCATCCCTACTCTTACCCCAGGGGGCCTACATCTACCATTCACCATCCCTGCTCTTACCCCAGGGGGCCTACATCTACCATTCACCATCCCTGCTCTTACCCCAGGGAGCCTACATCTACCATTCACCATCCCTGCTCTTACCCCAGGGAGCCTACATCTACCATTCACCATCCCTGCTCTTACCCCAGGGAGCCTACATCTACCATTCACCATCCCTGCTCTTACCCCAGGGAGTCCTACATCTACCATTCACCATCCCTGCTCTTACCCCAGGGAGCCTACATCTACCATTCACCATATCCCTACTCTTACCCCGGGGGACCTACATCTACCATTCACCATCCCTGCTCTTACCCCAGGGAGCCTACATCTACCATTCACCATCCCTGCTCTTACCCCGGGGAGCCTACATCTACCATTCACCATCCCTGCTCTTACCCCAGGGAGCCTACATCTACCATTCACCATCCCTGCTCTTACCCCAGGGAGCCTACATCTACCATTCACCATCCCTGCTCTTACCCCAGGGAGCCTACATCTACCATTCACCATCCCTACTCTTACCCCGGGGGGCCTACATCTACCATTCACCATCCCTACTCTTACCCCGGGGGTCCCCTACCTACATCTACCATTCACCATCCCTGCTCTTACCCCAGGGAGCCTACATCTACCATTTCACCATCCCTACTCTTACCCGGGGGTCCTACATCTACCATTCACCATCCCTGCTCTTACCCCAGGGAGCCTACATCTACCATTCACCATCCCTACTCTTACCCGGGGAGCCTACATCTACCATTCACCATCCTACTCTTACCTCGGGGGGCCTACATCCACCATTCACCATCCCTGATCTTATCCCGGAGGGCCTACATCTACCATTCACCATCCCTGCTCTTACCCCAGGGAGCCTACATCTACCATTCACCATCCCTCCCTGCTCTTACCCCAGGGCCTACATCTACCATTCACCATCCCTGCTCTTACCCGGGGGGGCCTACATCTACCATTCACCATCCCTGCTCTTACCCCGGAGGGCCTACATCTACATTCACCATCCCTACTCTTACCCATCCTACATCCATTCACCATCCCTACTCTTACCCCGGGAGGGCCTACATCCACCATTCACCATATCTACTCTTACCCCGGGGGGCCTACATCTACCATTCACCATCCCTACTCTTACCCGGGAGGGCCTACATCTACCATTCACCATCCCTACTCTTACCCGGGGGGCCCCTACATCCACCATCCCATCTTACCCGGGAGGGCCTACATCTACCATTCACCACCCCTTCTCTTACCTCGGGGAGCCTACATCTACCATTCACCATCCCTACTCTTACCCCGGGAGGGCCTACATCTACCATTCACCATCCCTGCTCTTACCCCGGGAGGGCCTACATCTACCATTCACCATCCCTACTCTTACCTCGGGGGGCCTACATCCACCATTCACCATCCCTGATCTTACCCCGGGAGGGCCTACATCCACCATTCACCACCCCTACTCTTACCCTGGGGGGCCTACATCTCCATTCACTGACTGCAATCTTGGTTTTCTCTGACAGCAAAATATTGCAATTCAGGAGAAGATGAAGAAGTCCCGGAAGGAGCTGGAGTACCTGCAACAGAGAGAGCAAGAGGTGAGTGCTCTATCCGGTCCGTCATCTCTGTCACAAATCCTCGGGGTAGGCTGACATCCCATGACAGGTTTATAGGTTGAAGTGAATTTCTGGGCAGAACAGATCCGGTATATTGGTGTCAGTGGGAGGAATAGTGCCCCATCATTGGTATCAGTGGGAGGAATAGTGCCCCATCATTGGTGTCAGTGGGGAGGAATAGTGCCCCATCATTGGTATCAGTGGGAGGAATAGTGCCCCATCATTGGTGTCAGTGGGAGGAATAGTGCCCCATCATTGGTGTCAGTGGGAGGAATAGTGCCCCATCATTGGTGTCAGTGGGAGGAATAGTGCCCCATCATTGGTATCAGTGGGAGGAATAGTGCCCCATCATTGGTATTAGTGGGAGGAATAGTGCCCCTCATTGGTATTAGTGGGAGGAATAGTGCCCTGTCATTGGTATCAGTGGGAGGAATAGTGCCCCATCATTGGTGTCGTGCCCCATCATTGGTGTCAGTGGGAGGAATAGTGCCCCATCATTGGTGTCAGTGGGAGGAATAGTGCCCCATCATTGGTGTCAGTGGGAGGAATAGTGCCCCATCATTGGTGTCAGTGGGAGGAATAGTGCCCCATCATTGGTGTCAGTGGGAGGAATAGTGCCCCATCATTGGTGTCAGTGGGAGGAATAGTGCCCCATCATTGGTGTGTCAGTGGGGTGTCAGTCGGTGTCAGTGGGAGGAATAGTGCCCCATGGTCGGTGTCAGTGGGAGGAATAGTTCCCCATTGTTACTGATGATGGGGGTATAATGCCAAATAGGGCCAGATAGAAGCAAGCAAAGGGCTTCACTTGACCCCCCAGGCCAGGATAGCTGGAATGTTACGAATGTCCTGTATCAGTGGGAGTAAATGGCCTCCCCTCTTTGGTACTAGAGACAGAAATAGTGCCCCATCATTGGAGTCAGTGGGAGGAATAGTGCCCCATCATTGGTATTAGTGGGAGGAATAGTGCTCCATCGATGGTGTCAGTGGGAGGAATAGTGTCCCATCATTGGTGTCAGTGGGAGGAATAGTGTCCCATCCTTGGTGTCAGTGGGAGGAATAGTGCCCCATCCTTGGTGTCAGTGGGAGGAATAGTGCCCCATCCTTGGTGTCAGGTGAGAGGAATAGTGCCCCATGGTCGGTGTCAGTGGGAGGAATAGTGCCCCATCATTGGTGTCAGTGGGAGGAATAGTGCCCCATCGTTGGTATCAGTGGGAGGAATAGTGCCCCATCATTGGTGTCAGTGGGAGGAATAGTGTCCCATCCTTGGTGTCAGTGGGAGGAATAGTGTCCCATCCTTGGTGTCAGTGAGAGGAATAGTGCCCCATGGTCGGTGTCAGTGGGAGGAATAGTTCCTCATTGTTACTGATGATGGGGGTATAATGCCAAATAGATAGAAGCAAGCAAAGGGCTTCACTTGACCCCCCAGGCCACACTTTAGAGCCTGCTGGCCTATGGAATGATGAATAAGGTGATATACTTGGATTATGCCTTGCTACTGCCTGTGCTCCCCTTTGTTGTTTGACATGAGAATGTGGGCGGGGCCTGCGCATCATCCTGTAAAATGCTGGACTGCCGGCCCTGCGTTGTACAGGATGACGTCAGACTTACACTTTTAAGATGTTTTCTGTAAATTTGTCCTAGCGAGTAAATAGGAGCCGCAGTCCTTCCTGGGTTTTGTAGAAATCTCTCCAGCTCTATATATGTCTGCATCCAGTGTTGTCTCGCACTTCTGGGATCAGGACATTTTGTACTCACTGTAAAATCCTTGTCCACGGAGGAACACAGGACATTTATTGCTGCCTAACGGAGGATTGGACACTGGCAAACAAAACAAAAATCTGTAGGCCAGCCAATGATAACCCCTCCCACTACCAGCATGCAGTAGTACTGCGCATGAGCATAACGAGACCCGCGTCCCTCAGTAGACTCCAAGAAAAGGATTTTAAAGTGAGTACAAAAATCCCGTTTTTATTTTCTCATCCATTGCGAGACGGTGGAAGTCTTTCACCTTCGGGACTGACGAAAGTAGTTCAACCAAGTGGCTGGAAACAATCGATAACGGACCCAACACGAACAATTGACTTTATGCCCGAAGATCGTATCGGGTGAGGCCGCAATTTTCAATTAGTAGAAAAAAAAGAACAGAGGAGCAGATGGTCGACTTGCGTTGGGAGCCGGTGGGTGCGTTGGGAGCCGGTGGGTGCATTGGGAGGCATGGGAGCATTGGGTGCGTTGG